GTCAACAGTCATAGTCTTCAAAGTAAATCTGTCATGCACGTAAACCACAGCTGTCATGCTCACGCCTCTCCGTTTTCATACGCTGCATTTTCTGGCAACACCGGGACTTTGTATTTGGCTGTGTCACACTCTCACTCATTTTTACACCTCCTTCTCTTCTCTATGCTTCACCATATTTAATAAAGCCCTTGCTCGTTACTTCTCTACTCCCACATCGTTGTGAAAAAAAAGAGGTTTAGACGAGAAATGGGCAAGGAAACAGAGAGGAGATGACAGGAGGTATATGGCAGAGCATTTTGAAAGAATGAGAAGCCTGTGTGAAGAAAGAGAAAAGGTTAGAGAGGGTATTGGGGACAGATGAGGGGAAGATGACTCGGTGGAAAGATGCTTGTAAGAGCACAGTGGTGGAAAGAATGATGGAAGCAGATGAATGATAGGAGGGATAGATGCGGAGTAACTGAGAGTCAGACAGGAAGATTGTTGACAGGCCATGAAATGGAAAGGCAACTACACTGCAAATAGCCTGTTAAAGTATAAAATATGTTTTTTCTCATTCAATGTATATCCTTTATTCTTCCTTGTTCTCTTATCAAGATGCAGCTCTATGATATGGGCTTACTTATATCTATAAAATCACTTTATTTGATCATGTATGAGGTATTTTATTTAATCTGGATCACAACCAATAGCACATTGTTGCCAACAATAATGACTAACAATGGTAATGACTAACAATGATTAAATCACTGTTTTTTCATAACTTGATATTACAAAATGTCATGTCCTGAGAGCTCTTTATTCCTCCTCTGTTCTCTCCTCTGTGCCACATATGGTATTAGCTCACTCCACAGGAGTCACTCATTATACAGTGGCTGCCATTCTCCCATAATCTCACTTTATTTCACTCGGCCCCCCTCTCTGACTCTCTGCCTTCTTTATTACGTCCTCATCCAACTCCATTCTTGGACATACATAAAAAAGCAATAAAGATCATGTATGCCGCTTCCAATCCTCATTACCACATGCAAGGAGCGTTGTGCATACTCAAAAAAGTCACTTACACTCGCTTTACCGTGATTACCTCATTTTACCCCCGCACGTACATCAGATTTATCATCAGAGCTGTTATACAAGCTCGCCCTGACTTTGAGCGATCTTATTGACGTGCAGAGATACAATAAAGACTGTTTGTTGGAACCAGGCAGAGATTGGGAAACGGATTGTCACTGAACAGGCAAAAACAAAGATATCAGACGAGTGGAGTAATTATGTTGATGTGTGTCACCTATTCTCTGCCCTCATTGTGCCCACTCTTGCAAGGTGTGAGTCATACTCACATAGATGAACAGATAAGCAGCGTCTTTGGTTTTGTTTTCTAAAGACCTCTCTAATGAATAGAGTCGTGCTTTTCTTACTGTCTGGATTATTTTATTTATTTCCAACACACAGAGTGATATTTCTTTATTGAAAGCAGGTTAAATAAGTCTAACTCCGGAACTTGGCCTCACAGACTGTCTTGAGTCTTTGAAACTTTGTTCGACTCTTTGAAGCACTGTTCCACACTTTCAATAAATGAAACATTACCAAAGTCCTTGATATGGTTACAAATTTGTCTCACACGTCCCCCAGCACTACAAACTGTGCCTTGGAAATGAACAAGACATCTCACAAATGGATTCCACCTACTCGTTTCACTCCTTCCTCTCTCTCTCCTCCTGTTTCTCCATCTTTGTTTTCTCTGTCTCTCACTTTCACTTTATGTCTCCACAGGAACAAAAGGACCAGAGTTATTCTACTGTGAAGACTGCTGCCACACGGATCAGTGTCAACAACCTCAAACCTGGCACCACATATGTCTTCCTCATCCGCCCTTTCTCTACGCCAGCCCCCTCCTCGTCCTTGTCCTCCTCCCCTCTCTCGTCCTCCTCGTCTTCATCCTCTGCCTCCTCCTCTTCTACTTCGTCTTCCTCATCCTCCTCTTCGTCGTCGTCCTCCTCCTCTTCCTCTCCGCCGCCCATCGACTACGGAGCATACAGCACTCCCCTGGAGCTGCAGACACTTGGCGAGTGTGAGTACCCGTTTTACGCCTCCTCCCCTCTCGTCTCCTCACTTTCTCTCCTTCCTCTTAGCACCGCCAGGCAGATTGGGATGGGGGGTTTGTGTAGGCACCTGGCCAGCCCACACAAGGGGATGTGACTGTGTCTGAGATTATGTGTGAAGTTTCAAGATTTTACAAGTAAACTGTGAAACGGTTCCTCTTTGTGCAAGTTGATACCGGGTCCCTTGTGCCACCTCAGGGTCTGGTTGGGACTCTGTGTGTGTTTCATGCCTTGCACTTCTTGTGAATTCTTTGTTTTGAACCTTTCATTCTTCCAGGACAGGGATTTGTTGAGCTTTCATAGTTTTATAGTGCTGAGCTGCTTCACATCATGATACAGTTTAACTCACCTGAGAGCTGGCCTGCACAACCATTATCTTCCACTGTTGGCCAAAGACCAGCTCTTCAAAAAGATTATTTATTTTTTAAGCAGATGGGGTTGCACACTTCTTTGTTTTGCTTTAGGGTGAGAGGTCTTACAGTAGTTTGCCGAATAACTTTTTTGGACAATGCATAATCAGTTAGCTTCTTTTGCCTCGGGCGAGATCAAGTGTCAAATGAGTCATGGCCTGAGATCTCACAAGGCAGCAACACAGCAGCCCCTAGTGGCCATGTACAAAACGCAGGTAGGCAAAAGGATTTTAAACACGTTATCATCAAGATTATGACATTTCTCAAGTGAATACATTAGGCAGGTATAACTATTTGTAGTTTGATTGTAAGTAAACGGTAAGAGTTGGCACGTGCAGGGAAAAAAACTACTTTACAAGCTTGTACAGATTTGAATGTTTGTTCTTTGGCAAGTGTTTACATTGAGGCGCTTAAGATTAATGTTCAGTTTTGTGAAGATAACTAATGGCTACAGCATGGGTTGCTGTGTCCCAGGATAGTAAGAACTTCTGTAGATCTGCTGGGGTTCATAATTTATTCTTGACCTTAAAAATAGCAACTGGCAAAACAACACAAACCAGCAGTATTTAAATTGGCTCGAAAAAATGTAAATTTGATGTATGATGATCATGCCTTTAACATTTTTATCTAACATGGCCAAAATGAATTGGTGAAATTTTGTTAATTAGTCAGCTTTGTCCTGGAAATCTGTGTGGCTACCTTTTATGCCTTTGGGTGTTTATCCAGGGTTCAGCATTAGAATGTATGATAACTGGCAAACTATTGATAATGACCTACTAAAAGGACCTTCAAGATGAGATTGTTGTGTCAGTGACTGTAGTTCTGGTTAACTACCATCAGATTTACTACAAGAGTATATTGTGCATTACACCAACACATGGTGTCCTTTTATTTCTGTTCCTTTGAGTCAATTTAGTGAAGCAGAATGTAAGTAAATGCTTCTAACAGCGTATTATAGGAGGGTCAAGTGAGAATATTAATCTAGGGGAGGTCGTGGCTTTCTAAAATAAGAAAACGTCAGTTTACCTTGCACTCTAAACAACTTCCTATTAAATTAATTCGGCTTTAAGGTCATTGCCTCTCATCTCCTGTTCTTGTTCACACTTAATGTACAGTAATTGAATATATGTGCACTGCATGCTGGTGTGTTAAATTGTGTCGTTATCATGAGATGACGAGCGTGCGCAATATACAAATGTGCCTGTGTTTTTCGCCCAGCTAATTGTTGCACACCCAGTTCAATTAAGTGTGTTTTTGTTCATATGTGTGATGAGTGTGTCTTGTTATCTCTAGTGGCACTGGCATCCAGCGAACAGAATCCAGTAGTGATCATCGTCGTCGTGTCAGTGGCCGCCCTGATCATGCTGCTCTCCATGGGAGTTGGATTGCTTATCTGGAGGAGGTAGATATGTATACGCAGACATAAACACGCAAACAATTCACCATCGGCCATGCACTTCCTACGGCTTATTTCGTTATTCTAAGATTTTAATACTCTTAGCATGTTAGAGACCATACTGACATGCAAATGCGTACAAACACTCTATCATAGACTCAATCACATATTCAGTCAACTGTCACACACCACTCCATCATAATCCAGATTACAGTAATCCGGCGATAGGAGAAGTCCCTTTGTGAAAGGAACGAGCAGTGACAGCGAGAGAATGGCTGAAATTACACGATAACCACTCATCATTTAATATGTGACATAAAAAAATCTGTTTGATAATGGTGCTGTCTGTGTCAAGGGGGAAAAGCTGGCAGGGTCAAAACCGTCTTTGATCTTTTTTTTCTTTCTTTTTGGCGAGGAGTTCAGAGTTCTTTGCTATCTAATTAGGTTTCACATAGAGAAGTGGGAATTGGGAAAAAGAGAAGAGAAGGAGGTTAAAACAGTGTCACTTGCGTAACCGCTGACACATGGTTTACCTAGCCCAATAGTTTCTAAAGAAGCCCGAACTCTTGCTTTACATGATTAGGGTGGACAGCCCAAAATTGTTATTTTATTTTACAAAAAGATCTAAAGACAACTTCAGTATTTAACTTGGAGCAAGTTAGTGTTGCAGGTTACCACAATGACTTCACTCCACTGTGACCTAATTTTTCATCTTACAGCTCAGTCTTATTAAATTAAGATTCTTTCAATTTGGAGAGTTTTGCAGTGGAAGGAAGAGGCCATTTAGACTGCAGCAATTGGTGTAAGAAGCTTTATTTCTTTATTTCTAATTTAAAGTGGCAGCCTGGTCAATTTGGGTCAACTTTAGATCTTGATGAATGAATTGTGATGACCAGCATAAAATTAGGTTAAGCAAGTTATGTGTTATAGGAGCATGGTGTTAAAAAAACTGCAGTGACACAGTTTTAAGATACTGCCTTTATATAAAGCATTAAGTGATTTTTGCAGCCTCATTGCTACAGCATTGTCTCTGCAGTAATACCTCTGGATGGACTGGAGAATAAAGCAACTACAAAAAAGACTTTAAGAGTGACCATTTGCTCCTAACTACAGTTCAGTTTCTACACATAACTGGAACATTTCAGTAGACAAATATATTTACCCAGGCAATAGTCTGATGTAATACTAAAGACAATATGGCCAAACATAATAAATAACCAAGTACACAATGCTACACAAACGCTTTATCTTTAATGCTATGGAGGTTGATCCCATTATGTGTGGTATCAATTGTCAATTAAGACTTTTATAATATTTTAAATATGCAAATTGATCTAGATCTAGATATCTGCACCACCTCCTTTGTCACAGTTTGTGATACTGGAAATTTTACTTTTGACAGTCTTTGTGGCAAGTGTCACATTAATAAATTAAACTAAATTAAATTAATAATTTTTCATTTTCTTCTTTTCATTCTTGTTTCAATTCAGTGATGTTATTCTGTGTCATCTCAGGCACTTTAACGCATGTTTGATTGTCTTATTGTCTTGTTTATTGCCTCGAGTATATCTTGCCATATACTTGCATGTTTTATTCAGCCAAGCAGATAAAGGGAGGGGAGGAGGGGGTAGAGTGCATTTCTGCTTGGCGTTCCAACCATTTTGCTCTTTGACTCCTGTCCAATTCTATATTCTGCCAGCTCGGCTCACACACGCCCACACAGAAACACATACACGTTTGTACTGTATACTCCATCACACATGCAAGTACATGAGCAGGGAGCACATATCTACTCCCACACAGTTGCACACGTACACCCATGGCCAGAAAACCATTGTTTTTCTTGTTTCATTTCATTTGGCTAGCATTCAATTCATATTTATCCAGGGAGATTTTCAGATACATTGTGAAAGCATTTTTTGCAAAGTTTGTGTGCATTCCCTTTTCCTCTACAAACACACACACACACTCTCTCTTTACATTCATGCAACCTCTCAGCCATATAAAGTACCTTTTCCACGGACACACCTACCTGTCTAAAGAGTGGATTGTGATATAAAGACCACCGGACCAACTCCAGATGCACACAAAACAGTGCAATGATGGAGTCAACCAGGTGTAGAAATGGGTTCTATTCACTCACAGGAGCCCCATACAAACTGCTGTCAGTCAAACATCCATAAAGGAATATATGGGAGTAGATACGCATAGACTCACACATACAGTACTAAAGGCAACAGAACTGCAGTAGAAACACAGAATATGCAAAAATGTGCTAACTCTCAGTACACACGCATAAGTATTTAAATACATTGTTGCTTTGAGGGAAGGCAGCATCATCCCCTCGTGCACATCCCAGTTCTGAATAATAATGCTTATCTTTCTCTCCTTTACTCCCATTGCTGCATTCATTGCGAGTGGTCTTCATTGTTCATTGCTGCTGGACCATTAACTTGCTCTTCATGTTTTGCATAGAGACAAAGAGGGAATGGCTTGATGCCTCAATTACCATGCTCTCATGTTTCCAAAGACAGCCAGCCTCCCGGCCTCAGCTTGAGGGGCTCCGTTACATCGATCTGTCTGCTCACACAGACACATGCAAATGATTCCCGCTGCACACACATGAAGGCACGGATACAGGCAGTCGTACACATTTAAGGCATGCTTTCACATTCATGGAAGCCCACTTCATCAGGAAATCTGGTTAATGTCTCGCTTTTAATGCAATGTATGTCTCAGCAGCAGGTTTACTCTACCTCTTTTACAAGTCCAAAACACACCAACAGATTACCTGCTCATTGTTTTCTATGTAAAGAGATGTGTTCGCATGTGTGGATACGCCACACTGCACCAGAATGCACCAATGTCCTATTTTCCAGTGCTTCTGACGGTCAATAGTTCTTACCGCTTTTTTCAGATTTGCTTTCTCAATTGGTGCATCCGGGCTACTGTACTGACTACTCATCTGGTTTGATATCATGCATTTCACTTGAGTCTTATACCTGTAACAGCGGGCGAGGTGAAAGTCACTGACGTATAACAATGTCATTGTCACATCAATATAAAGATAGTAATAAAACACATTTCTCAGCTAACCAAAGCTTGGGAGATTGGCTCTTCGGGTTTTGAGTCTAGTGAAATCACACCCAAAGCATGCAGTGCAGCATTCCATATTCATTTTTTATTCTGTATGATACATCATAATATGTTGTGTCTTGTTGAAGTGCCATGCTGTAGCTGATCTGATGCTACAGGTGTCTAATAATGGTTGCCGTGTCACTTGCTGCTGCACAGTCGGTGTGTTTTGGACTCTTCCCATCCCCCTGCTGCCAGGGTTTTCAGTAAGAGTCATAGCCACATTACCGTGATATACATGGAAAATTATTCACAACACAGTAAAAAATAATGTGGGGAATAATAATGGAGAAAAGCGTGCACACACACACACACACACATACACACACACACAGTCCATTGGTCCTTGACAGAGTTTGATAGAGTTCCAGGGCATTGCCCAAACATTCTCCAAGAAGCCCAGGCTCAACTGGTCAGCGCAAGGATTATTTACCCTTCACTGGCTACACCAGGGTGCATTGTGTGTCTTGTGATTGAGAGAGAGAGAGTGTGTGTGTGTGTGTGTGTGTGTGTATGCGTATGCCTATATCTGTTGAGTGAGTTACAAGTTATCAGGAGCAGGAGATGGAAAGGAGATCAAGGAGAAAGGAAGAAGCGTGAATTAAAGCAGAGGGTCATTTCATAGGGCCATTGAGGGCCAATGGCGACACAATGACAAAAAGTGGGTTTCGAAGGGGAAAAAATGAGATGAGGGTGGAGATGGGGAGGCCAAGAGAAAAGGTCTCAAACACTGTAGTGTAGTTTCCTGCTTGTCTTACACAGATCAGTGCTTTCATGTCTCAGAAAGCCCCCCACCACCAGACTCATCTTCCATCATTTCAGTATCACTCTGTATCATCATCATCATACTGTATCAATTTTGGATATATGTTTCCATTTGTTATTCATTAGTCACAGACGAATAAATCATTACTTTAATGTGGACCTGTAAACGATTCTTAACCCAAACCGAAAACTACAATGTCTTTACCTTTACTGAGGGGCTTATGTAATCAGCAGGGATCCCACTAGTGCAGATTTTCAAGGAGCAGCTCCTCGCAATGCAAGAAAACAACAGTGTCACCGCTTTGAATCTTATAAACCAGAATCATATGAAGAGATAAAACTTATTATGGCTTTTTGAAATTCCCTAATTTTCCATGTATTTTGCCCTACATAAGTCTCTGCTGGCCTAAATTCCTTCTGCTTCACTTTACCTGTCAGCTAGGATTCTATTCCAGCTCTCTCTCGCCTATTATTCATATTATTTCCATAACCACACTTTATTTTAGAGGAGAATTCAGGTATGGAGAGGAAAAAGCAGGCAGTGAATAGGCTTCATTTACATAGCATCTGTTCCTTTGTTTTGCTTTAAAGTTCTCTCTTGAAAACTAGTGTGTGGGTTGCACGTATGGTAATTCGCTTGAAAATTAGCAAAAATTTTAATTTGCCTTTGAGATGCATATACGTATAATGTACGGTTAGTGGTAATTTTGTCATCCAAAACCATGATGACTTGTGAGAAAATGTTGAATCATTAGAATAAACAACTACATATTTTTTATTGCTTGTTTTTACAGAAACACTTGGCTGTACCTAATTAGTATACTAAGCCAGTCAATTTTGCACATTCACCTTAATATGGTTCCCTTCCAAAAATGTATCCCTTGGGAAAGATACATTACACACTATCTCTTCTGATGTGTCTGCGTTTATTTCTCAATGCTGTTCCGCAAGCTGTGTGCCAGAGATAGCATTGTGGCCAATGAGGTGCAGCTAGGAAAGCACATGCCCAGCAGTCAGTTCTCAAAAAGTACAATTAAAAAGTACTGTATGCACTTAAATGCCTACTAAAATGCATTCAGTAAATAAATAAACAAAATTCTTATCAAATGTTTGTAGGTTCAGTTAATCCACAAAGACAGTTGCCCAGTTAATCATAGTGCTATCTAGCCCTATGGACAGTTAAAGGATATTTATTCTTGACAACAAATTCCATGGAAATAGTAAAAAGCATCAATCAACGACCAATTAATCCAACCAACAAGTATTGTAGTCTGATATAGCTTTGTGCTATAGAGCTGCTTTATTGTCCAAAGAATATTTAAAAACTCAGCCCTGAGCCACCTGTTGAACTTGAACGTGACAGGTTCCTTCTGTACAACAGTAGGAATAGTTCCCAACAAACACTTGAATAATGTTTGTTAAAATAATTATCCAGCTGTTTTATTTAACCTTTTTAGAAATTAAAGTATATATTTGTGACCCATTTTTAAAGATTTATATCTTGAGTAGGGAATGGGCTCATGAGATGAGTGTCGCAGGCAGGCTGGTTGGTTTTGGTTTTTTTATGCTATTTGTTTACAAAAACAAAAATATGTAATAAAAGATACAGTAATTTTTATTTGGGTGAATTTTCATTCTAAGTTAAAACATTTAAGTTTAGTTTACAGTAATTACATTTATTTAAAATCAAATGCACATTCAAAAATCTGACATAAAGACTAAAACTAAGATGAAAATTCTTGCCAAAATTAACATTTGATGAGGCTGAGCTGACAGCGACAGAGTTTGGCCAGAATGTTCAGTGTTTTGGCATCCACTCATTTCTTTCTGCCATCTGGTTCTTCTGAAGTGTGAAATTTTAAAAAATGGCCCAGAATTCTGGTAAAAAGGCATAAAATTGGAACCATTTTTTGTGAGGGTTTAATAGACTTTAGGATATATTTTCAAAATAGAGAATATACAGTATGTTTTCATAGTAATGACTATCTATGATCATTACTGCATGTTTTCTTGGCTGCATCCACCATTTTCCAGTGATTAGATCTGGGACAAAGGAATCTACTCATCAATCCAAAGTTGTGTTGACTGACCATCTTTGAAAGTAATGAAAAAAGTCAGAATTGACATTCGTACCCCCACCCCCCTCCCCTCCCTTGTTTTTTTCCCAGCAGTGTCTGCTCGAGCTCCTCCAATGTAACTCCTGCTAGTGTGGTGCTGCTCTCGACTTCCTTCTCCACTCTTCCTCCTCCTCCTCCTCTTCTTTCTCCTCTTCCTCCCTTCACACAGCTGATGCCCAGGTACACTGGCATGTCTGCACTCCCTTCCTCCTCCCTACTTTTCCCCACCTCTTTCTCCTCTTTTCATTTCCTCCCCATTGCCCGGCCATATCTTCTCTCTCCCTCTGTGCTTCTTTTTCTTCTGTTTCTAGCCTTCCTCATACCAAGAGAATGATAATAAGCCAAAAATCATTTCTCCTTTTTCTTCCCTTTTTGTCAAGCTGTTTGGCCCAATCCCATATTATATCCTCAGTACTGTATTTGAAATGAACTTAAAAAATGTGATGGAGAATTCATACCCAAAACGAAGCCACCCACCAAAAAGAGCTACTTTGCATCTGCTATTTCATTTTTGTCACATCTGTGACATTTCAAAAGAAGTAATGGAAATAGAATCAAGTCATGCGACTTTGCCTCCATGCAGCCCTGCCAATTATTCTTTTTCTTCCTTATATTCTTTCTCCAAGCCTCAGTTGACTCCTTGTCTCCTCACTTCCTTCATATCACTCGCCTTGTCCCCTTAAATCAGTTATTTCTGTAATTCTGCTTGCTTTGTTTTGCTCATTTGCTTCGTCAATCTGTCAACTCTTCCTGCTGTATGTCCTAGCTGCAGTTCCTGCCCTGCACTCGTCACTGCGATCCTTTCTTTCTCTCCTTGCTTCTTCTTCTTCCCCTAACCATGTACTTTTATGGGCTATACTTTGTGCCTCTTCAACTATTTCCCCTTCCTTGCATACCCTTCTGCCCAATTATCCTCTTACCCGTAACCTCTTATTTTCTTATCACTTCCTCTGCTTCTCCATCTCCCGACTTCCTTGCATTTTTTCTCAATGATTTATCCACTGCTTTGCCCTCATCCCCTTGTCATGTTCTCCACTTGCTCCCTTACCTCTTTTCCCCCTTAGGTCTCTTGCATCTTGTTTCTCTTGGTACCGTCATGCCCTCCGTCCTTACCCCTCCCCTTGCTCCCTTTGCCGCGGTGCTCCCTTATCTATTAATTCTTGTCTCTTCTCCCCTGTCTGGTATCTCCTACCCTGAGGATCTGTGCTGCATGTGTCTGCTGGTGTGTTTTGACAGACAGGGTCCCGACCTTGTCTCAGACCCTGCTGCTACACAGGCTGAGGGATGTGTCAGCCTCACCCTCGATCACATCTTCCCCACGCAAACACTCACAGGGACATGAACATGCAAAAGAAAAAAGAAAACACACACTTGTGCGTAACCCTGCACATATACATATATATGCATGCACACACGTACGTAAAGGAACAAGCACGAACACACACAGACATGCTTAAAACATAAAGTGAGTCCGTCAGGCTGTCTGCGAACTCCCTCTCAGCTGTGCACAGGTTTATTGAAGTGCTGATGGGTTCTGACAATCACAATAAGACACTGACTCAAACGCACGGCCCATGCCTATAGACACGTGCATGGGCAGCCTCACTCGTTGACTTTCCTATGCATAGATTGTGAACCCCGGTGTCATCAGTCCTCAAGTAACCCGTAGCAATCAAAGCTCAAGCCGGCGTCCTTGAAAACATGGTAACCAGCCACAATAATTATGTTCAACGTTCACCTGTAGATATAAAGCTTTCAGATATAAACACATGTACAAACATGTGTTTTTTAATAAACCCCACAGTAAACTAAAGTGCTGCTGTAGACCGCAATGGGTACTTCAGATTGTAACTGGAGGAACACTCTAGTCACTTTATGACCGTGTAGTTCCATATATATCTGGGATATAGTTATAATTTTATCAGCACCCTGTTTGCTAGAAGAACCTCTGATGTACTGCAGATTTTACCATCAAAACTTACTTCAATTCCTTCGCTGTATCCCTCTGGTCTTGTTTTCATCCCTTTCTCTAATCCAAGTAAGCATGGTGCTGGCCATCCAGAATGTCCGCTCATCACTTGTTAATCTGTCACTTACAGTATGTGTGTGTGTGTGTTTCCGTGGATTGTGTGCGTGTGAGCATAAAGAGCCAAGTTCTCCTCTAAGCCGAAAAGCCATCAACAGTCAGATCATAGAGAGCTCTCTCCTTTATAGACCCCCTGTGGTGACCAGGGATGAGAAACGACCGTGTGTGCAGATACATGTAGAAAGTACAGTTGCCCGCATATTTGTATTTTCCATAACTCACAACTCCCATCAGGCTGAAACAACAATAGAGTATCAATTCCAGGCCTTTCGGTGTGTGTCTGTGACTCGCTCAGTCAAATCAGGCTGGATTTCCACTTATTCAGCCTTGGATCTTTCTGTTGCTCATCAGTGCCGTCGCACCAGGGGTCTGAATGCCTCTCTATATCCTTTCCATTTCCACTATCAATACTCTTGTCTTCACTTTCTCTCATCTCACAGTTATTGCACATTCCATACAATATGCGATGTTCCAAGATAAACAGTGTCTGATGCTAGTATTTGTTTGTCTGCCGACTGGGATAAAACACTGTCTGATGCCTGTCTTTGTTTCTCCTCACAGACAATGCGGCTACAGCAAAGCTTCTCAAGAGGGAGACGAGGAACTTTACTTCCAGTGTAAGTGACAGCAGTGATTACTCCATTATATTGCAGATGTTTGTAATAACTGTAGGTGTTCAAACTCTGGAGATTAGGGGGAGGTGTCTTTCCTATTCCATGTGCTGGAATGCATGTGCATACACACACACACGTGCCTGTATTACAGATGACTTTTGAGGCATTGGCGCCACGGCATTAATTCTTAATTCTGAGTGCATGCTTAGCCAACTCTGAGCACACTGACACACTCCATTAGGTGGCGTGTGCGGCTGAAGTTGATGGGTAGAGATTGAAATCAGGAGGAGGGGATAGATAAAGAGCTGGAGATGAGGGGACGGGGGGTGAGATGGGAGGGAGAAAGAGGGTAAAAGCTCCAGAACGAGACAAGCAGAGATTCCAAAACGGACATTAAATATTGTTGTATGTGATGTTGTACAAGATTGTAAATGCTGCTTTTTTTAAACTCTGCTCACAACGCGACTCAATAGGCTTTTTGTTTGACAGTGACAGAATGGAAGTAGTTTGACATCTCTCTTCCTGTTTGTGTGTATGTGTGCGTGCCAATGCTTTGCTAATGTGGTGTATGTGTGTGTGTACGCACATGTGCGCGCTCATTTGCGTTGTTTAATCTCCCAGCATGCTGAGCCCTCTGGAGAGGTTTGGAGCACTATGCCTGATGAATAAAGAGCCGAAGCCATGCGGCTGGGAATTAAATCTGCCCAAACAAAGACATGCCAACAGCTGACAAGCACGCAACACACACAGAAGCGCACGCACGCACACACACACCTTTTTTTTGTAGAACACGGACACTCACACAAAGACACATTTTTGTTCTCTTTATCCAACACACACACACACACACACACACTCTCTTGAGTCCACTTCCTGTTCCAAGTATGTGGACTACAACATGCTCTCACTGCGCTGCAGGTGTCTGCCTTGCCTGAAAATGTGAAGTGTGTAAGGTAGCGACTCTCATGTAAGCCTGATTTAAAAAGTTTTCCCATCTGTATGCCTGCAAGAGTCTTAAAACACACTCCGTGACCAAAGTTTAACACGGAAGAGCACGAATGAGGGAATAAATGAGTGCGTGAGTAATAAAATAAGAGGAAGAAGGAGGGAGAGAGGAGTGTAAATGAATGAGCGGAGGGCTCAGTAAGAGGGGAAGTGGGATGGAGTATGAGGAGGTGAGTTGGCAGAGATGGAGAGACTCATCATAAGTGACACTGCTCAGAACATTAGTTTTATGTCGCAGTATGTGACCTAGAAACATAAAATGGAGGGGGTTGGGGGGTGGGGGTGTGGAGAAAAGACTCATCTGCAATCTCCATTAACGGACCACTTTTAGATATCATCCAGAGTTTGATTGCATGTTAGAGAGAGAAAGAGAGAGAAGATGTCTGGGGAAATGAATGGAGAAAGATAACAAGGCGTGTTATAAAGAGTTTGTGTCCTTTGGTTTACAATGAAAATATTTGGCACTGGGTGTGCTCAATCTGTAGTCCATTGAAGATTATGCAGCCAAGTGTGAACATGCTTCAGTTTCCCCTCAATCGCTCATTGCAGTGACACAGTTAACCCTGAAACTAATCAGCCACAGGACCAATGAAGCGTGACATATATGTGTCTGAGCGTTTGCAGCCATTTTCAGCCTATAGTTCATTTTATGAGACATGTGAGCATCCCCTCTTATGTGTATGTGTGTGTGTGTGTGTGCGCGCGCGCATGTGCTGCATAGCTGGTTTTAAGCTACAACAGTGTGTTTGAAAACCCTGTTTGACAGAAAAGGGTCTTCGATCCTCCTCTCAGCCTTGGTCTTGAATAGAAAAGGTTTCATTTGCTTCATAATTGGACTTTTGGCTTTATTTGTCAATGTGTGTATGTGTGTGCACAAACATATCTGTGTGTGTGTGTGTGTTTGGACACACAAGCAAACGTGTGCGTATATGTGTGTCTGATCAATAAGCCGTTATGAGGCAGCCCGTATAGGATCCCTGAGGTCGATCTAGAGCTGTAATCACATTTAAGAGCTTCTCCCCAGATTTTGGGAAAACTACTAGGCCTTTTCCTGGAAGATTAGCCTTAGCATGTAATAACAAGGGTCAGAGGTCATCTAATTGAAAACTACAGTCCATTGGTTAATGGTTATTGGCTAACTGCTGGCTAGTTTATTTGTTAGTTAGTGTTGGTCAATAGGCAGTTGAAGAAAACAAGAGGCTCATTGAGAAACCAGGTTTTTGTTTGGTTGTGTACAGTCAAACAGTTAGGGTCAATATTACACACTTTCAGTTTTAAATGTCAGCGGAAATTTCCAATTGTTTTGTCTCATTAGTGTCACAGAAGCAGTTTTATAGCAGCTCCTTGAAAGAAATTAGCCAAGAGAATTGTTAATAATAACCTTTTTTCCTTTCAAGATTGGATAGGGCAACATGAAACACTTTAAATATTTTGAATTTAGGTTTCTATATTCCAGGTTTAAGTTGTTTATCCCACAATATGTCACTCTTATAATTAGGCGATTTATCAAATGTCACATTGTAGATAGAAGTCAAAGAGTAATGTTATTTTTGTAGATCTTCTTTTTGCTGAGGTAGCCAAGCTGTCATTGTTTTTTGGAATGCCATGCAGTGCCCAAACTCTTAAACTAACAACAAAGCAGCAAGCCAGCTACAAGTACAGTGGCTTTAGGGTTTCTCTGCCTCAGCATTTTACTGTCTATTATGGCCTGTCCCAGTTTCTGACTGAAGATTATGTTGTGTGGGTCTGTTATTTTGCGTGTGTGTGTG